ACTGGAAAGCCCGGTGGCTCAAAGGTCAGCCAGAGTAAATAAGAGCTCCTATAAAAAGCCATTTACATTCCCTTCGTACAAGATTTATTTTTAAGGGATCCTTCCAGGAAAGACTCTGGCGGAGACTAAAGACTGTTTGGCCAGGATGTCCTGACTGGACAACATTCAGAGCACATGACCTGCATGATCCTAGCAGCCATTCACAAGGTCTTTACTCTGTTGTCCCTTGGCGTTGGCCTTCCTTTCTCCTCTTTGCTCCCTTCTCCTACTCCACGACTTAACCAAAAGGATCCCTCCAATCATCAGAAAACTCAGGATATCGTGACCTTTGGAACATCGGCGGAAAGCTGGCTGTAGTATGGATCTTTCTTTCTGGTGTTTTTTCATTCCTTCAGCAAACCTTAACTGTGGCTTGCCTGTGCCGGACATGGTCTGGGTGTGCTGGCACAGAGGTTTCAGCGGGTCATTGATCAGAGAGAAGTGAGCCCAGGTAGATCATTGTCCCTGCCTTCATAGACCCCCTGAAGACGCCTGTGAGGTCAGCTCCCCCAGAGGCCCGAGTTGATATTCCTGTTCAGCCCTCTGGAGGGCACTCATACCTCCTGTTACCTCTAAGATTTTCTTTTCTGCAGTATGGAAGACCCTCGAAACATTAGTTCATATTAGCAATACTAAATTTATTGAGTAGAAGGAAACATCTCAGAAGTTGATTTATTTGTGGTTTTAAAAATAAGTAATCCTTGAGTCTACAATGGAAACTACTGATTTCCTTCACATAAAAGTCCAAGATTGCGAGGGAGGGGGAAAATGGAGAAGCATCTGATACCAAGGGCTCAAGTAGAAAGCAAATGTTTTGGGAATGATGATGGCAACAAATGTACAAATGTGCTTGATACAATGGATGGATGGGTGGATTGTGATAAGAGTTGTATGAGCCCCCAACAAAATGATTTTTTTTAAATCCAAGATTGCTATAAATGTTTCCAGCACAATAATGATGAAATCACATTGACCTGAGCTAAATACCATCCATCTCACAGAACACAAAGATAATCATCAAAAGACATCTTCTAAACGCATAGTTAATATCCAGAAGAAGTCTTTCCACCATTATATACCTAAATTATTCCACCGATTTCTTTTTACGTTGATTTCTCTTCCTAGTGTTTTTGCTGTGTCTAGTCAGTGTGATGCTTGTGATTACCACATCAGGGCCTTCCCTCATAAACACTCCACACTATGGAGAAGCTTCTTTCCTTGTACTTCTGAACTGCCATTTCTCTGTGTGTCCAACTGCTCCCCTTATCCTTAGCCACCAGGGGTTAGGCTCTAAGCCTCCAGGAATTACCCAGAAAAGTTCTAGCCGTGGTGTGTAATTCCTCATCAGGTCCAGTGTGGCCAGGTGCCTCTGGTCCTCCACCTCTGTCCTCAGCAAGGCAGGCGAGGAAGGCCCGTGAGGGGGAGAGTGGTCTTCGTGGTGCCGGCGTGAGCATTCGTCTGTAGAGGCTAGTATGCCCTAAAAAATGAAGGTTTACCACAAATATATATTCTCCTGTGAGCTTGTTACGTACCAAGCTTTGGTGTAAACCACCCTGTGTCTGTGGGATGGAGCCCTGGTGACATAGTTTGGGCTGCTAACCACAAAGACCAGTTCAAAACCACCAACTACTCCACGATAGAAAGATGAGATTCTCTACTCATACAAAGTTACAGTTTTGGAAACCCACAAGGGGCCACTTCTACCCTGCCCTAAAGGGTTGCTATGAGTTGGAATTTACTTGTGTTGGTGAGTTTGGATTTAGACGTCTGTGGGAACATGCACTTGTAAATTGGCAGGTGCCTTTCAACTTCCTAATTTGCCCTAGATGATTTAATAGTTAAAAACTGACATGGTTAAATAAGTAAAGTTAGTAGATATTATACTCCATATTGTAGAAATACAGAGCCTTTAGATTCATGACCTACAAGAGGCCTCCAGACATGCTCTCTTACTCAAGCCTGCTCTGTGAAAGTTGTGTTTCAAGGAATACACAGAGTAAGCAGTTTCTACTAAGGCCTACCCAGTTTAGTGATTAATCTAGATACTTCAGAACAGTTCCTTCCCTGAGATTCATGTTGTTGATGTGTCACAGCTGTACTTGTTGTATCTTCATTGTATGGTCCGGAAACAGACCTGCAGTCAAGTGACGTTACCGAGGACGAGCAGCATCATGAAACGAGAGCACCCTGACACTTTACAGAGTCCGGTTTCTGAGCAGACGCCAAGTGTCTACAGGGAAACTGTACTGTGGTAAATGTGGACCTGATTTTTCTGGAATTACCACCGTCCTCTGCTTTTGGTGCTGTGGTGACTTTCTGTTGACAGAGCCTGGGTGAACCTTGCCTAGACTAATCTTCTCTGCAGGTTGCTCCTTCCTCTCCCCTGTACCATCCTGCCTCATGTCAGGACATGCTATTCTCACTCTCTGAATGGGATCTTTCCCAAGATACGGTGCTTGGAAGCATTTCTCTCCCTCCCTTGCCTGTGTTTCCAGCCCCTCGATAATGAACTGCCACACACCAGTTTTAAGTTAGGTGTTGGAATTTATTTGATTTTTTAAAAATTTATTTGATTTTAAAAGAACTTACCTTCAATGTGTGTGCTTTGTTTAAAAAAAAATACTGTAACCTACAAAATGAAATTCATTTTACGTAATGACTTCTTGACCATATACCATATCTGAAACAAATTTCACAAACTAGTACTTATCTTTGTGACCTGTGGTGTATCACAATGTTTCCTAATCGGTTCCATTTCTTTCTTTGGTTTATTTTTATTGTGTTTTATTATTTTATTCCTTTGGTGTGACTTTTAATGTGGCCCAGATCCACCAAGCTGATTTCATGACTAGTGATAGGTAGGGCCTGCATTTTGAATAACTCTGACCTAAGTGGATGTCCAGTTGCATTCCTCGCAGTAGTCAGGAAGAAGAGGAATTAGCAGCTTGATTTAGAGGACTATAGAGCTTGCTCAAATGTGAAATGCAGTCCTTTCCTCTTTAGAAATGTTCTGGAGCGTAATCTAAGTGGCAGGTTCATGAAAATGAAAGATACTTTTTTTTGAAAGATAATCTTAAGGTATATTTATGTTTTCTACAAAACTCAGTTAAAACTGAACCCCTGCAACAAAGCCCACATGGAAGGAGCACACCAGCCTGTGATCACTAGGGATTGATGACAATCGGGTATCAGCCATCAAGAGACCCAAAACAATCAATCGTATCAATGAGAGGGGTAGGAGTGGAGACACAAAGCCCATTTGTGGGCAGTTAGACATCGCCTCACAGAAAGGTCACAAGAAAGAGACGAGGCTGCCAGGGTGCAGTATGGCACTGACGAAATACACAGCATTCCTCCAGTTCAGGCATCCTCAAACTGCAGCCCGCTGAGGCCATTTATCCCGCCCACCGGGTGTTTTTGCCCTGTTTTGTTTTTTTTCACTTCAAAATAAGATATGTGCAGTGTGCATAGGAATTTGTTCGTAGTTTTTTTTTAACTATAGTCCGGCCTCCAACGGGTCTGAAGGACAGTGAACTGGCCCCCTGTTTAAAAAGTTTGAGGGGGGAAAAAAAAAGTTAGAGGACCCCTACTCTAGTTCTTTAATGCCCTTCCTTCTTCCCCCCCCCCCCTCCCCCCCCCCCCCTCCACACCCCCCTCTCCTACCCCCATGTTCCCCGGATCTGCCATCCTGTTCTACCATGACCCCAGTTCTACCTTACAAAGCCGACTAGACTGGAGCACGTACACTAATAGAGCTAAGAGCTCTTGAAATGCGGAATGCAGGACAGATAAGCCCCTCAGAAGCAATAACAGGAGTAGCGTACCATGAGGGGCCGTGAGGGGGAACCCGTCACAATGATCTACATACAACCCCCACCCACACCCCTGGGGGACGAGCAACAAATGTGGGTGAAGGGAGACAGCCGACTATGAGCTATGAAAATAATAATTTATAACTTATCAAGGAGTCACAAGGGTGGGGGAGGGAGGAAAGGAAAAAAGAGGAGCTAATACCAAGAAAATGTTTTGAAAATGATGATGGCGACATGCACAAATGTGCTTGATACAATTGAGTATGGGTTGTTATAAGAGCTGTAAAAAACCCCAATAAAATTATTTATAAAATATAAAAAGGTATAACACCCCCTTTAAAAAAATTGGGCCCTTATTTGTATATGTTTATATAAATACAATTTACTGTCAAAAGGCTATTATTTGTGATCTTTTATAGATCTTATTTCTAGAAGATACTCATTAGCTATTTGCTGCCTGAATCAGTGTTACTGACACCTGCTGGTTTATTTGTAATTTTAAGTTTTTGTAAAAGGATGTTGGCTGTAAAGGGAAACTGTGTAAACTGTGTTTAATTGTTTATGTATAAAAACTGTTGACATTCATCAAAAAGTACTCTAAATTAGTGCCTGTTTCAATGGATTGATCCCAATTCAGCTCAATATGTAGAAGGCATAGCCTGACTCAATCCTAGCCTTGAGTCATTTTCCTGGGACTCACCTTCTTCATCAAGAAAGGATCTTAGATAAGTAAACATCATTAGTTTCCAAACTATTGAAAACATGGTTCTTGGGGAAAAAACATTGAAATGCTGATGTATTCGGTCCTCTTTGTGTAATTTAGCAGTTGAGTAACTTGTTAAAAATGCAATTATTAACACAGAAAGGTCTCTACTTCCACAGTGATGTGTTTTTCTGTTATTGTTTGCTGTATAGTTATTATCAGATTAGTAAGATATTAGCGGGTTTGCCTACAAGTTGAAGGAAAGTTCCCGTCATTTGATGTTAGTGCAGAGCACCACTGTGCAACGTATCAAGCAAAGGACAGGCCAGGCGAGGGCAGCTACTAAAGCTCTTACTGGGTTCTGGATCCGGAGAGCCTTCTCTCGAGACCCTTAGCAGTTTTCCCATAGCCGTTTTTTCTCTTACCATATTCCTCCCTTTCCACAGGAATGACATCTTTGTGTTTCTGCTAAGCACTCGAGCAGGAGGACTGGGTATCAATCTCACTGCTGCAGATACAGTAAGTAATGAGCCCAGTCCCGCCCTGGCCCTAGGCTTTCCCATAGAAATAGACCATTCGTTTGGTGTCCAAAACGTGCTGTTTGTTTGGCTCCTGTGATGTTAAAAAAAAAGAGAGTATCAATTATACTTTGACAAACTTTAGCTCTCCTTTTAGACTTTTCTGTCCATTCTCTTTGAATTAAGTTTCTTGTTCATTCAATAAATATGTAGTTTAATATCTACTGGGCACCCTTCTGTGCACTTCCAGCTACATCATGAACAAGCACCGCAGACAGGAGTGCTTCATTACTTTTACACATTGCTCCACTATAGGGGAAGCTCACGCTTTTCTAGCCTAAACTTTAAAGAGTGGTAGAAGAACAATAATATTGGTCATTTAAAAAAATAAAATTATTCACCCTTTCCTACCTAATCCCCGTGGGAAAATACTCCCTCTCTGAAAGGGAATAAGTGGTAAATGGTTTTATAAAAGGCATGGCTCTCAACAGTCTTATGTTGCTGTCGTGAAACACAAAGTGTCGTCCCATGTATGAGGATCATGGAGTATTAAGATACAAGCCCGAGGAGGTTTGAATGGATCTACAGTGACAGAGCTGGAGCCGGATCGCATGTTGCCCAGTCTCCACGTCTGGGCTGTAGTCATCCTTTTTTAAGAGGTGCTATGCATTAGCATTGCTGCCTTCAAGAATTAAAAACCGATTTGTCATAGCACTAAATAAGATATCATCTCTAGGACTCAACTGTGCTTTCCTCGGTATCTAAAATTCTCCAGTCGTTCAGACAGGGCTCCAGGGTCTGAGGTCTGCTGGGGCCTCCCGGGGTAGTGCCGTGTCCAGCATGCACGTGATTCCCTCATTAATAGCCATCAGTTTGTGGGCCGACTGGTGGGTACTGCTCTTGTGGGTTCTCTTACGTAGGGGCTCGCTTGTTGCCATATCAGATAGCATAAGCTTGCCTTTCTCCTTGTCCCACTTGTTTTCCTGCTTTCTGTGCTATTTAAGCATCCCCAAAAGTCCCAACCTAGTCCTACTCTCACCATGAGGACAGATCCATCACTCTTTCCCAACAGATCTTTTTATCTCCAGTCTCAGCCCCAGCCCCATTACCTGTTCATTCCAAACCCATTCTCTATGCTGCGACTTAGTTAATTGTTTAGACCCCTTTCACAGGGGCCACCCGATTCATAACAGTAGCAAAATGACAGTGATGAAGCAGCAGTGGGAGTAATTTTATGGTTGGGGAGGGGTGGTCACCACCACATGAGGAACTGTATGAAAGAGTTGTGGCATTAGGAAGGTTGAGAACAACTCGTTTAGACTCTACTGTATGAATTATTGTCACTCCTGTAATTATTATTAATAATAAATATCATTATAAATATTGTTATTGTTGATAAATATTATTAATTATTGTCACTCCTTGGCTTAAGACTCGGCAAAATAAGGTAGAAGCTCTCCTGTGTGACATACAAGGCCCTTCATTTTGTGCCATTGTCTACCATTCCAACCTAATTGCTGGACCACTTCCCTTGCCAAAACTTCCGTTCCAAATGTTACGGTTGCATTGTCGTTTCTGAAGACCCTCTGCTTTATTACACCGTTGTGTAAACTGCTCCTCAGAATAGACTACCCCCTGTGAGCCTCCTCTTTTAAAACACTGACCATTCCTATTACTCATAGTTAGCCAGCTATATTGGAATTCATTATTTTCCATACTAGACTTTGAGTTCGTCAGTGGAAGGAAGTGCATGGCTGCATTGCTAATGCCTGGAACAGTTCGCTTACTCAGCAGATGCTTAATGAGCACCCACCAAAAACCAGGCGCTGTGTTAGCCACCAGGAATTCAATTTTCACCACATGCGGCCAAATGAAATTCTGATTTTGTTCTCATCGTTTCTAGAAATTACATTCCTAACAGGGAGATAGACTAAGAACCAAAAAAAGTCCTAGTAAATAGTATGAATGCTATGAAAAAACATAACAGGTGAAGAGTGATAGAATGATCAGGGTTGCTGTTTTATTTGGCTTGGCAAGGCCTCTCTATTAAGGTGACACTTGAAGAAACTAAGGAAAGAAGCCAAAAACAGCTACCTGGACGAGCAGGTGTGAGTGCCAGTCCTGAGGGGAGAGGTGCTCAATGGCTGAGGCTAGCGTCGGTGCGGTAGAATGAGGCGGTACTGCACAGGCAGGCCATGGCGCAGACTTTGGGGTGAGGGCCCATTGGAAGCGTTTGAGCAGAGAAGTAGTATGATCTGGCATGGATTTCAGTGCATCCCTAAGAGAAAGGTAGAATCAATGAGTGGTGACTTGCAGCAGCAGCAGAGACGGTGAGAAGGAAGGAGTCTTGGCATACAAGCTAGGATTCCACTTGAGGCTTCCGATTCCGACCTTCAGATAAAAATGGGGGCTGCAGGTGATACTTTGCAATCCATTGGATTCTGGGGGGTAGTTAGGGGCCTGAGGATGACGGCACACAACAACAGCCACCACTACTGTTTGCTGGAGGCTTCATTCGGGAGCCGAGAAAGATACCCAGGACATTGTGAGTTCTGGAATCCAAAATCATTTACATGTAATTTGAGGTGGAAGATTCACTTGTAAATCAGGAACGCCTTGTATATTTTCCAAAATAGGACAGCAATATTGGAATAGATACTAAGTTATACTTTGTCTGAACTCACATTTTAGGCTCTGTGTGTGTGCGTGAGCATGCATCCTAAAATTTGAGAAGCAATAGGCCAAAGTGCTTGCCTTGCATTTTTCATTGGAGAGCCCCTGGACCATTTATGGTCAAAATATAGGTTAATGGGCGTCTCTGGCTTACTGTGTTAATGAAACTGTGGTTGTATTGTGTGATTGATGGCAGCTGCCCCTGACTGCCCGTGCCTTCTTTTGTTTTTGTTTTCTTCCGGAAGTGTAGGGATAGCTTTGTGCTGTGTCTGTTTACTGAGGGCTCGTTATAAATTGCACCCTTGTTCTTATTTCTGTGTCAGACCTGTTTTAAAAGTGTACATGTCACGAGAGAGTGAGGAACTTTGTGTTCCTTAGTGAGCAGTTCGAGAAGTCCTTTGCCCCACGAGACAGCCCAGGACAACTTTCAGCTCTCCCAGGGACTGAACTGCCACCCATTCTCCTGGGCGAAAGAGCTCCACCCTCCAGGTGGGAGTCCAACTTTTTCCAGTGGCTCTTCTCTAAATGTGCCTGTTTCCCATTTCACTCCCTGATCCCCTGAAACAACTTAGCATTGATCAGTGTAGCAGATCCCCTCCGCCCATCACATTCCCTGCTCTCACACCTAGCTCGCTGTTTACAACTTCATGAAGATGCTATTAATATACTTCCCCTTAGTCATTGCTGGGCCACGCTTTGTGGATTGACTTGCTTTAATCTTTCCTCCTTAGTCAGTTGTTCTAGCCTTCTAATCGTTATTTGTTGTTTGTTTTTCTCTAGATTGTCTCTCTCAGCTCTGTAAACCTGATTACCAAATAAGTATCAAGGCCTGTCACCCAGCACTGCCTTAGTTCCTGTTGGTGTTGTTCAGGCAGTATCCATTCACTTGATGCTGATGTTCAGTTCTCACACTCTTATTCTCCGTTTTAACCTTGGATTTCTGTGTTTTATATTTTTCTCTGCATAAGTATTTTACCTAAATAGACTCCTGCTTAATTCTCTCTTACTCACAAATCATCTTGCTGCTTTTAATCCACTGGAAGGATAAATAGCCACTACGTTTTTTTTCTTTTGTTTGTTTCGAAGTTAAAACTGCAAGCCCATCTCCTTGAGTTTTAATCTTATTGTTCATGAGCTTTTAAAAAAAAAAAAAGCCACCAGGTTGAATCAGATCTGGTTGGTACCGAGTGTCTCAGGAATCAGTGTTACGGAAGCATCTCTGAGTGATTCATAGTATTGGAGTCTCTTTATGAATTCACACTGAGCCACTGCCACAGGCTTGGACAGGTCCCCGCTACTGTCTCCTGGTATGAGGTACACACACACACATGTCCAACTGGAGGTCTGTCCTCCCTGGAAGTTTAAACTGGATTTGCTAGAGTTTATCTTGTCCTATTGAAACACCAAAGTGTTCTGTGATCTGTTTTGCTTGCTCTCTCACTCTCTCTTCCCCACCTCCATGTGGCAAGGAGTCTGCCCGGGACCCTAGCCTGTGTTAGAAATGGAGGGCTTTTACAGCAGGATGTGAATGTCTGCGTCATTGGAAAAATTAGTGTTCTTATCAATACCATACCCAGGGGGATGATGGATAATGTGGTTTTTTGTTGTTCCTTTGGTCTTTGTTTTTTTGCCCTTTGTTTGTTTGTTTTTGTGGGTTTTGGTTTTTGTCCTAATAAGACCACCAAAGTGAACCAGAGTCGTTCATAACCCCTGGACAAGCAAATGGATTCTGAGCTCCCACTGAACTCTAGCCCCAATCGAAAAGCAGTTAGTTCTTATAACACGGCCCTGCTATGATACTTGCCTTCATTTCAAGCGGATGGTGCCCACTATCGATTGGAATAGTGTCTGGGGTCTTAAAGACTTTTATTCAAATAAGCAGCCATCTAAGTGAAGAGTCAATTAAGTCCACACGGAAGAAGCACACCAGCCTGCGTAATTTAGAGATGACAGTAACAAGATCCAAATATGAAGAAGGGAAGTGTCAAACCTTAAATTGTGAACACCCAATTTGAAGACGACTACGGGGGACAGAGGGCACTCAAAACCCATTTGCAGATTAAGCCTCTGGCAAGGGACTCAGATTTACTATAAGATTATTATAAACTTCATTGTGATGGATCGAACCACGGTATAATGTGATAGTTGATCAGTTGACCTCCCTCTTGACCCAACCTGAATTTGCTCTAGGCTCAAGTATTTCTTGCCTATTCCACCACAGAAATTTCTTCTCTAGCCTTTTAAATATTAGTGGTGCTCTTTTCTTGCTTACAGTTTACTTGCATTTTTCCTTTTATCTTATTATTTTTTCTTCATGCCCTTTGTTTTGTTTTTTATTGTTTCCAGTGAAACAAAGAAGGAATGGGGGGTTGCAGAGGCAACATGTGGTGGTTTATTGGGGTGTGGAAGGGAGCTGGGGTGTGTGTGGGAAGGGTGAGGGGGCTGGGGGAGCTGACAATGAATGCTGGAGGCAAGAAGGAAGCTTTAGAACTGATTGTGATGATGTATATGAAACTCTTTTGAAAGCCATTTAACCATGTAAATGTATGATATGGGAGCACTATATCAAGAAGACTACTGAAAAACGAAAGAAAGAAACAAACTTGACCAGTGGTTACCATGGGTGAAGGAGGAAGAGTTTTTGCTTAGGGGCCATTGAGTTAATGGTGATAGAATAATCTGGAAAAGGGTATGAATGATGGTTGTACAGCACAAAGGGTACAATCAGTGGCACTCAATTATGCACGTAGAGGTTGTTGAATTGGAGAATGTTCTGTTGTGTGTTTTTGCCACAATTAAAAATAACAATTACGTGAATAACAATGAGTACAAGGGAGAATTGAATTGCTCTAAAATTGGATGTGGTGATAATTGGACAGCTCTTCTTGATGGGATTAACTTCTTGAAGTGTAGGACATGTGGCTGTAGTGCTGGTGACACTTTTTTAAAAAGGAAAAGGAAATGGAGGGGTTTATGCCTCCGAGATAGCAAAGGTGAGAGCGGCTCCGAAGAGCGAGGGAATGGAGAGTCTTCTGGGAGAAGCAGGAGCGCCAAGAACGCTGATGCTTTTGTTCATCTTCACCCAGAGCCGCTCTTCTTCCAGGACTAGCTGGCATTGCCTCTGTTCTGCCTGTTTTTACAATGAGAACACAAGTACTTGGGGCGGGGGTGGGGGTGGGGGTGGATGTTAACCAATAGGGGAAAAAACGTTGCAGAGAAAAAGTGGGAAGTGATTAATCAATCTTCGGTTTACAGTTTTAGATTCTGTATAGTTTAACCAGTCTTCTTTAGTATTTTTGACCTCTACTTTGTACTGGAGGGTAACATCTGTCCTCTAATAAGACTGCACGAGAAGACTGAAAGTGTAGTCCCTCTGAAATGACTGGCGCAGAGACTTTGGGACAGGGGTAAGCAGTGCACGAAACTGTTGTCAGTGCAGTGGGGGAGGGAACTGGGCCAGATCTCAGCTCAACCACTCACTGTGATGTCAAGCCAGGCTCCTCCTCATTTGTCAGAGAGAAGAAGCGCGTCGTGTTGGAGAACTGGTGAGAGACGTGTGCACACCAGTGCTAGGCACGTAGTGTTCAGCAGACTTTAGTCATTACTTCTTTTAATAAAAATGCAGGAAAAGAGCACATAACTCTAGGCTACAGAATCACAAAGACCTATCTGGAAATGGTGAAGCTTGAACTGAACCTTAAAGGACCAATAGAGAAGAGATCAGGAATTCAAGGCAAAGAAGCAGCTGGGAGGAAAGAGGTACAAACAGATGTGATGGAAATGGGAAACACTAAAGAAACCTATCTGCTTCCAAAGGGAGCCCTACTTGTTTGAAAAAGGATAGAAAAAGTTGGCCGGCTAGAGCAGGACCCAACTGCCTAGGCAATGTGACCTTGATGTGTTACAACAGACCTGGCAGAGAAGTGAGTGGCGGGCCGGGTTTGACTGGTGGTGCCCAGGGCAAACTGGAGAAGAAAGAGGTGGAGACTGAGATCAGTAAGCCTACTAGACTTAACACCGTGTTGATGACCGAGATGCAGTGGTGAGGAACTGTACAGATGGTTGGGTTCATTTCTAAGGAAGCATTGGCTGAATTCGATGACTTGGTTGAATATCGAGGAGAACATCTAAGAGATGAACTGGGTTTTTAAATTCTTTTTGGTTTTCTTTTTTCAGTAGGTGTGCTGTAGTAGAAACAACCTCAAAGGCTAAGGACACAGAAGTCTGTTGGTCTTGGGTTACGTGGAGTTGGGGGTGGGGGTCTTTGTGTGTGTGGTGGTGGTAGTATCCTAGTTATTCAATAAGCTGGAAGTAGCTTCCAGGAACAACCCTGTAAACATCGCTTCCCTGGAACTCATGGGGCAGGAAATGATCCTGTTGGTGAGAGCCTGTCTCCCTGAGAATGTCAAGAAAGCCATACCTGTATTACCAAGCTAGTCAGTCCCTGAGAAGGGTTGCACAGGGTCCCATCCCAGGCCCACCGCTTACTTGGACTGTGTGTTCTTAGGTGGACTGTCTGACTCCTCTGGGCCTCATTTTCCTCTCCTGTAAAATAGGAGTTTGTGTAGTACCTGAATCATGGGGTGGCTATGAGACTTAAATTGGTTTGTATGTGTAAAGCACTTGAAACAATGTCTGTCAAATTATCAACATAACTTTTTAAAAATAAACACCATTCAAAACAAAACACAGGGGCATGTCTTTTTGTATAGGGCAAGTGAAGGAGAAGGGAACTTAGTCTTATGAGTTATTATCATCTCCATCTTATTATAATAGAAAGAAATCCAACCTCAGACTCTTATTACAGACTGAGGAGTGGCTGGGCTGCTCTCGGCATCCTGGCCCTTCCCAGAGTGCTTCAGTCTGTGCGGCATTCTTCTCTGTGCAGGTAATTTTCTATGATAGTGACTGGAACCCCACTGTGGACCAGCAGGCCATGGACAGGGCCCATCGCTTGGGGCAGACAAAGCAGGTTACTGTGTACCGACTCATCTGCAAAGGCACCATTGAAGAGCGCATCCTGCAGAGAGCCAAGGAGAAGAGTGAGGTGAGCACAGGGCAAAGGAATGAACACATACCGAAAACAAAGTCCAACCACCTTGACTCAGCGAAGGCTCCGGAAGGCTTTTCGCCTTTCATTGATGGTGAAGGAGCTAGGGTTTCTGAGGGGTCAGAAGTACAGTAAGATTAGGTACGGTAGCAAGTACAGCTGCCACCAGAATGGAGTCCCGCCCCCAAGGCACAGCTGTTGTTCATGTGCAGACTTCAACACCTGCACAGGTGTTGACCTTCATGTTTTGACATAGTCTTTAAAAAAGAAAGAGTGGCACTTGGGCTTGCATCTTTTTTTTATTTGGGGGGTGGGGGGGCGCTTGCATCTTGATAGCCTCAACTTGACCTCTCTCTGCGATGTATATCAAGTTGATGAGTTTCCAAAGAAGGTGCTCTTTTTGGTGTGTTTATTTGCTCATTTTTATTCTGATTCCGTTTGTTGGCGATGCTAGCCAGCCTAAGTGTGGAAGTTCCCATTGCTCCTTCTGTTGAATGAACAATCGGGAGGAACTAGTGAGATCAAACAAGAAGAGGAAAACTGGAGGCTTGGCTGAGTCACAGATTGAGAAGGATGTTTTGTTTGTTTCTGGACGTTCACCATGTGGGGACAGATGCTTGGAGATGATCTTTTGATCTGCTTTGGTTCAGATTCAGCGGATGGTGATTTCTGGCGGGAACTTCAAACCTGATACCCTGAAACCCAAAGAGGTGGTTAGTCTTCTGCTAGATGATGAAGAGTTGGAGAAGAAATGTACGTACTCTAATCTTCATTCTCTCTCCCTGTACAAGATGTTGCTCACACATCTGAAAATAGAAGTGGGACTTTGTATGCCAACAGTAGGCAAAGCCAAAGACTTCATTTGGGGAGAAAGTTTTTCTATTAATATTTCATATTAAAATTCAAACAAGGGTGTGTTGTGTAGTAAAAGGCAAAATTCACATGTATTTCAAAACCAAATATGACATCAAATAAAATGTCAGCTTGCCTTAGAAAGTCTTCCTATCCCTCGACTCCCCAGCAGCGGTCAGTTTCCTCTGTGCTGTACTGAGAAATGTTTCTCCCGGGGTGCCCTGCTCCAGCACGCAGAGCCTCTGTACATTTCTGGCCATTTGAGAACACGTTTCAAACTTACCTGGGGAGCCTTCCAAAGATTTCCTCAGCTACATTCATGGTTCTCGTCTTCTACAAACCTATTGTATCTCCACAGTCACTCTTGGTCTGTTTCATGCAGAGGTGTGGAAAGTCTGGGCAGAAAAGGGGTGCAGGGCGGGGAGGAAAGGCCCTTCCTTATTAAAGTGAACCCCATACGCTGTCCAGGATCCAATAGGCCGGTTCTTCCTCCAAGGTGGAAAGCAACGGTTGTCCGCCCGAGGCAGCAAGAAGTTGCACCTGGAACACACAGCAGAGGATAGGGCTGCCTTCGTGTCAGGGTAGAGCTAGGATGAAATGCACGGCTTACTGAATGTAAGGTCAGGTTTCAAGGAACCGTAAACAGTATTTGGTGGATCCAAGTAACAAAAATGTGTTGTTAGTTTTCTTTCTCAGAACTCTGTTCTGTTGTGCCGCTTCCTGGCAGTGCAAGGGGGAGACGGGCAGAAAGTGTGGTGGGCGCCGTAGGTAGGCTCAGATCCGGCCTGCTTTTCTCGGCAGTGCGACTGCGCCAGGAAGAGAAGCGGCAGCAGGAGGAGTCCCACCGCGTCAAAGAGCGCAAGCGCAAGCGGGAGAAGTACGCGGAGAAGGTACGGAGGGGCGGGCTCCGGCTTGGACTCTTTTCCTTAAGAAATCATTTTATTAGGGGCTCTTCTAGCTCTTGTAACAGCCCAGACATCAATCGATTGTATCAAGCACGTTTGTACACGATGATGCCATCGTCATTTCCTTTCTACTTGAGCCCTTGGTATCAGCTTCCCCCCACACCACCCCCACCGCTCTGAGTCCACGTGGGATGAGCTGTAAGGTAAGTGCACAGAAAAACTCTCTGCCACCGAGTTAGTTTCAGTCCATAGCAACCCTCTGGGACAGCGTGGCCCTGCCCCTGTGGGTTCCGAGATTTGGAGAGCCTCCTCTTTCTCCCGCGCCTGGTCATTTCTACCTGGTGACCTGATGTAACCCGCCACCCCCAAGGCTCCTTTACAAATGCAGTTCGGGGTAGAGTACCCAAGCACATTTTGTGGCTGCAGATCTCAAGTCGGTGACAGAGAGCTGTGCCGTGTATAGTCTGAGCACTCAACCCTTAAGGGTTGAAAAACTAGCCAGACATCCCTTTGCCCGTTGGCTATGAGGATACCCGTTGTGTCGTTGTGGCATATCCAAAAAGAAGACCATTAAGGTGGATGTGCATGAACGAGATGGAAAGCACTGGCCCTGCCTTTCCGGCTGTGCCCGACTGACAGCGGTGCGAGGCTGCGGTTTGGGCGCTGGCTTCTAGGCTTCCTTCCCTCTAGATTCCTGTTAAGCCACTTCGTTCCTCCCTCCCTAAGCAGCCCTGGTAAGTGCTGGGCTGCTAAGCACAGGTTGACAGTTCAAACCCACCAGCACTTCCCAGGATAAAGAGGTGCGCTGCCGTCTGTAAAGATGGACAGCCTCAGAAACAAGTTGGAATTGACTCGAGGGCAGTGGCTTTTTTAGACGTCCTCCTTCCACGTGAGCTAACTGAAAATCAGTAAATCAACAGATGTTCATAAAAAATAAAATCCTTTAGGGGAGAGTACAGGGAGAAAGGGGGAATCAATCACGAGGATCAAACTAGAACCCCCTCCCAGGGAGCCGAATAACAGAAAAATGGGTGATGGATGACAGAGGACAATGTAAGATATGGAAAAAATAATCTATATCTTATCAAGGGTTCCTGAGGGAGGGTGGGCAGGGGAGGGAAGGGGAAGAAATGGGGAGCTGATATCAGGGGCTCAAGTGGGAAGAGAATGCTTTGAAAATGATGATGGTGGCATGTGTGCAAATGTGCTTGGCACACTGGAAGAATGTATGAATTGTGATAAGAGAGGTAAGAGTCCCCAATAAAAGCATTTTTTTTAAAAATCCTGTCATCCTTTGATCCCACCCCAGTGTTCTTGGTCCTTATGCGTTTTCCATGTGCCCTGATTTGTGCATTTCCAGAAGAAAAGGGAAGATGAATTGGATGGGAAAAGGCGAAAGGAAGGCACGAACCTGGTCATCCCATTCGTCCCTTCCGCTGATAACTCCAACCTCTCTGCGGACGGGGACGACTCCTTCGTTAGCGTGGACTCCGCCATGCCCAGCCCTTTCAGTGAGGTGAGGCCCCGGCCCGTGCCTCGACTACTGGACAGCCAGAGGGCCCCTCCTTAGGGAAGGCCTTGGGAATCCAGGAGAAAAGCAGGCGAGGACAGGCTGGGCTTCTGTGTGGATCTCGTCAGCAGCACAGGGAAATAGAGGGAGGCGCCAGACCTGGGAAGCATGTTCTCCGCCGCAGCAAGGGCCTCGGGCAGTGCCCGCAGTGTGTGTTGTTGCCACCCTGAACTGGTGGTGATGGCACGCCATGCCTCCTCTAGATCTCCATCAGCAGTGAGCTGCACACTGGCTCCATCCCCCCTGATGAGAGCAGCAGTGACATGCTGGTCATTGTGGATGACCCGGCCTCCTCAGCCCCGCAGTCCCGAGCCACCAACTCTCCTGCTTCCGTTACGGGCTCCGTCTCAGATACCGTGAACGGTGAGTGCCACTGCTCTGCTGAGAGCAGACGCCGTTGGAGGGGGTGAGGTCCTGATTCCTTCCAGGCGTGCGGCATCTTCTTTAGAGAAGAGCGGAATGGTGCATAGGGTCGTTTATCGCAGTGGCCCTGCAAGTGAAAGGGGCGATAAGGGTTAGGAAAAGTGAGATCAAGAACTAAGATCTCAGACTCCTTTGTTTCTGGTCACGCTGTCGTCCACATTCCATCCGGGTTGCCGTTGTTAATTACCGTTTGCTCTGGGGGTCTCCTCCGTGTGTGAGGGCAGGCTAGCTGCTGTCTCTGGGATCTCAGGAGAGGCTGGCCGTCCATGGGCCGGGGGGCAGGTGAGAGCAGGCAGCGCTCTCTGAGCCTTTCGATGAGGAAGACTTCAGAAGTAATGGAACGGCTGGCCCTAAAGAGTGAGGAGTGACGGCCAGCCTGTTGATAGCTGTCGGACTTCACAGTAACTGGGTCGCAACCTGAAGTGCGGCGGCAACCTCCCTGGGAGTCCACACACACCCTGAGAGCCAGCCTTCCTACCAAGGTACGCTTATCTCACCGTGCGGAGAGCTTTCATCTGTTCCTCTCTGCCCATTCGTTCGCACAGGAATTTCCATTCAGGAAATGCCAGCTGCAGGTCGGGGCCACTCAGCTCGCAGCCGGGGCCGCCCCAAAGGCTCAGGAAGCACCGCCAAAGGAGCAGGGAAGGGCCGGAGCCGGAAGTCCACTGCAGGCAGCGCTGCGGCCATGGCAGGGGCCAAGGCCGGGGCTGCGGCGGCCTCGGCAGCTGCCTACGCTGCCTACGGGTACAACGTGTCAAAAGGTGCGCAGGCCCAGCGGGCCAAGACTCCACTCCGCCGGGTAGAGGGGGTACCACCCCCGGGGCCCGCCCTCAGGCCAGCCTCTACCACCCGGGGCCCAGGTTGCGGCCTGCGTCTTCACACTGGACGGTCTTGTCTCTCCTCTTGCCCTCATAACCTGGTCCTCCGTCTCCGTTGAATGGAGGGTAACTGAACAGGAGTGAACTAGGGTCTCGGACTGTGCTACTGTCCACATTCCGACTTTTTTCTGGCTTCGAGAATGGATCATCTTCTGGATTTATTTCTGAGAGCTGCTTCGCAGTCCTCTGAGGTAGCAGGGCTCACGCTGCTGTGGGAAGTTGTTGTCGGTGCTGTTGACACAGGTGTGGCCTCCCAGTGCACAGCAGAAGGAAAGACTGCCCAGCCGGGCCAGGCTGGCAGTGACACCCTGTGGCAGGCTTTCCCAGGGCCTCGTCTCCTGAAAGCACGCAGTGTGCGAGGTGAAGCCTCTCCAGCCTCACTTTCGAGGAGCTCGCCGACTGGGTCTGCTCTGAGATAGGTTTGTCTTTCTGGCAGCCGTGCTGCATGTGATTTCCCATCATTAATTCGGTGGTGTTCATTGTTCATGGTCCATCTTGCACTTCGATGGGAGACCCTGGGAAACCCATGGCTTGGATCCGGGCATCTTTGCTGTTTTAACAGTTTACGTAGGTCCTGTGCGTCGCATCGTTTGGGTTCCGGATTGCTGCTGGTCTGGATCCACGTGAAACGGAAGCCTTGACTGCGTCAGTATTTTGGTCTGCTCTGTTGGGCCACTTGTGGGGACCTTGGCTCGCTTTCCATGGTGTTGTCATCCATACTGACGGCTGCAGCAAGGTTGTGTTAGGCGTGTACGTTGCACACAAGCCTCTCCTTTGGGAAAGGCCTTAGGTGGGGCTGTAGGTCAATAGCGAGAAGGTGGCCAGGCTGTGGCCCAAAGAGCTGAGAAGGGGAGAGCTGTCCCCAACAGGCCTGGTGAAGGAGAGTGGTCACGGTGGTGCGCGGGCTTTGAGAGTGGCAAGGGAGAGAGAGAGTGGTGTTAGCTCAGCGGTAGGTCTTTTACCTCGTGAAACGGGGCGGATTTAGCCATTGGGATGGTTGTAAGAAGCAAAGGGTCCTTGAATAGGCAGTGCTTGCCCTATAGAAACGGTCAGTAAACATCAGTTCACCTCTCCTCTGTGATGGAGACCCTGCCTGCACTTACTCATTCAGCAACTAGACATGCAGGGCCCAGCCCAGTGTTGTTTAACCTTCTGCCAGCTCATTGCATTCTTGGGAAACACGTCATGCCAGTTGTCAGTGTGGCTGTGATGGGGTCTCACCCGTGGGCGGGACGGACGGACGTGGCAGCTACGCGTTGCATATGGAAACCTGGGCTGGGGCAGGAGTTGCCGGTGGTAGGGTGTCCCATGAACCCGGCCAGTGGTTGTTAGCTGGACCTGGAGAAAGGGAGGGACAGTGAGCGCGAGAAGTGACGCCGGCGCCCAGGAAGCAAGCAGCGGGGTCCCAGTCCATGCCGTGGGTTTGGCTGCAGGTGACAGGAATTTCCTGTCGCAGCAGAGCCTTCACCCTCGATGGCGGGATTCAACTCGGTCTCCAAGTGCAGTGACGGGGCTTAGAGAGCAGGGTGCCTTCCCCCAGCACAAGACGGCATTAGCACAGGCCCAGACTTGAGAGTGGGACGCCTAGTGCCCGCTGGCCATCACTCACCAACCAGCCCGGGGAACCATCTTCAGAAATGAGGAAGGAAGCAACTTTTCTCGGCGGTGTCCCAAGGAAAAGGAAAGGTAGCTCCTGAGAGCCGGTCAGTCTCAGCTTCGCCTCTGCAGATGCTCTTGGGGAGGCTTTGCCCTTGTGCTCCATGGGGACAAGGCAGTGGGTCAGGCTGGGCGCTGAGAAGGCAGTGAGAGCAAGAACAGCTCAGCTCGCATGCTGGGAAGATGTGGGCAGGAGACCTGTCTTCCGTAACCCAGGCTTGCGGCTGCAGACAGCTGCCAACATATGTCTTGTCTCTCCTTCCCCACAGGAATCTCCGCCAGCAGTCCTCTGCAGACATCCCTTGTTCGGACAGCTAGCCTGGCTGACTTTGGACCTTCAAGCGCCTCTTCTCCCTTGAGCTCCCCTTTGAGCAAAGGGAATAATGTCCCTGGGACTCCCAAGAGCCTCCACCTGACCAGCAGCCTGACCACGGATCCCCTGGTCCGGAAACCGAGCAAAGGCTCCAACCCCCCTGGAGGGCGGTAACTACCTGGGTCCTCTGGCTTCCTTCAACCAAACCAGGGCCTAGAATCCTCGCCAGCAGAGGGTGTTTAGATGGCTTGCCCAGTGCAACATAGGACATCCCAAGTCAAGAGGGCAGAGATGGCCAGGTGCAGCCAGGAGGACCAGGCAGGTGGCAGGTATGAGCACTTTCCTCACCTGTGTCTCAAAAGGCAAGCTTGGGGGTTGCCAGAAAGAAGAAGGGGAGGGGGCCAGCCCCAACACATCTTAGCTGAACTTGAACCTCTTACCCGGGAAGGGCCGAGTGGCGGCCCTTTTAGATGCTCAGGCACCCCAGCCCCATGCCCTTGGGCTTGGCCATGTCCCTTGCAGAGGTTCTGCAAGTGCTGTGAAGAGCGGCCCCTGGTGGAGGCTTCTCTGAGGCTGGTAAGGGAGGCCATCACGCCGCTGGCACCGTCCGCTCCGGCCATCTCTCCATGCCTCCTTGGCCAGAGCAGTATCACAGAAGCGCAGCGAGTGTAAGAAAGCGGTGGCTTGTCAGGAAGACAGAGGCTGGAGGACGTGGTTTCCAGCCCCCCCCCAGCCCCCCCCAGGCCTGCATGGTTCACATCAGAGAACCTTCGGGTCCCACCAGCAACAGTAGCAGCCACTCCCACCCCAGGGACTCCCAGAAGCCAGTCCCGAGACCAGGAGCCAGCTCAATCATCAGGACGTCCTCACTGCCCCTCCTGCAGACTCCTCCTTGCTCTTCCTGAATGCACAGTCTCCCCACCCCACCCCTGCCCTTCAGCCCCTGCTTGGCTGTATGCACTGTCTGTATTGCACTGAGAAAGGAAGGGGCCGCAGGAGTGAGGGGGAGAGGGCAAGCTTGGCCCTGACCCTCCGCCCGAGCTCTCCCCCCTCCAAGAGAGGCAGAGGCCGGTGGTCCCAGAGGAGGTGTCTCCTCCTGCCCCCAGTCTGATGGCCCCCTGGTGGAGCAGGTGCTTCTGGGCGGGCCAGCCTCTAATTTGCACACCTGAAAATCGCGGAACTGAATTTAGATAGATTGATTTTTAAAACCTTTTTGGAGTAAGGGGTGTGGGGGAATCACTTAATTTAAATCATTAAGATTCCCCTGCCCAGACCCAGACTCCTGTGTACAGATGCTGTTTAGAGGGAATCAGAAAAACGCCAAGCCTTTTTTCTCTTTGAATGTGCTGTCTATTTTTATAACTGAACTTGTACATATGTATAAAGAGAGACACATCTTTCTTTTACTAACTGGAGAAAAATCTTAAATAAAATGGAGTGAGATAATTTTATGTAAATCGGCGTGTGTGTGGTCCTTGCAGTCTCTCGTTGCGAATGGGGGAAGTGTTCCTATGATCAGGCGTTAGTGAGGCAGCAGTGCGCCTCCGACAGGCTTCACCGAGCAGAGCAGTGAGTGGGAGGAGGCCTGGTCAAGAGCCTGCCCTGCAGGACCAGTCAGCCCCTCAGGTGTGACTCGGGGTCAGGACTCCAGGACGTCAGTGTGGACCGCTTGGCCCGATCCACCCTCGAGCAGAATTCCACAGCGGTCATCAGAACCCCAGTTCCCCGCTGTGGGCAGTAGGGACGTCTCCAGCTCCACAACTGTGACTTGTGTGCACATGCTTCTGTCCAGCCAGAAAGCAGCCCTTCTGCAGGGCCAGTGCTTTGAAGTACAACTGACTGCAGTGCTAGTGTCCCGTGACGAGGACTCAAAGGGGCTGACACCCTCAGTGGCATGTGTTGGGATTCCCAGCTCCCGGAACTGATGGAGCTTGCACACTGAGCTTCGAGCATTGCTCACACTGCTCCCAAGTGTGCCGGCCGGCTGTGTGGCCTTGCTAACCTTGGATCGCCCTGCACATCACACTGGTCAGGGCAGGCTGGCTGCTGGGAAGCTGCCACTTGGTCACGGGTGGTCTTGCTTCCATCTGTGGACCTCTGGGCAGCACTAGCAAATAGGTGGGCAGGTGTCTATCTTGCTGGTAAGCTTGACTGAGGTCTCACCCAGAAAAACCCATATCAGTTTCCCAACCACTGTGGCTACTGGTCAGCAGACCCCATCAGATGTGTCCCCTCAGCATGGCCCCCAGTGACACTACTGCTGAGTCTCTGCCAGGGTCAGCCGGCAGTGGCCTCCTCTCTGGGGCGCTGGCAGCTCGAGGTCCTCGCACAATTTAGCGCAGATGTGAACGACCTGGTGCCCGCTCCTAACAAGCGTGCAGTTTCTACCGGGGCTTTGGGTCTCGTTGTTGCTGGGCCTGGACACTACCCAGCCGTTCCCCCTTCATGGTAGCAGCTCAGTCCCTGAGTAAACGCAAGCCAGCGTGTCACATGGTGGGCTCTGCCCAGCTCTTAAGTCCAGGGGCCCCTTACCTGCCCGGCCCCAAGTCAGGGCAGAGCCTGAAAGTAAAGGCTCAAGCTCATGAACATCGGGAGCCCAGTCCCCAAGTTAGGACTCAAGTCCAGGTGCCCTACTTTCAGAAGACTGTCCAGTGTCTCACGGGAGAACCACTTCTGATGCAGAACGTGGAGCAAGAAGCAGGAAGGTGCCCTAGCAAGCCAGAGCCGCGGCTGCCGGGAGCACGGGAGGACAGGCCCTTCAGCCAGTCCTTCAGCCACACTCGCCAGGCGTCCTTAGAAACGGCCCTGACAATTCCAGCTCTCTACGGGGCTGCTGTCCCAGTATCCCTGCCTGGGGTGTGTTGACGCACCCGGGACTCTAAGAGGCCCATCTTCCACTTGCTTGGGTCTGTCTGGTCCTGAAGGGTCGGGTTGGGCAGGGAGGTGTGCCAGCTAGGCTGTGATCTGGGTGTCCTTGCCCATCCGTGCCTTGGTGTCTGCAGAAGAAATAGGCACACACAGCCTCACTGCTGGCCCTCCATGTCCACCATACCACACCACCTGGTCATTAGAGCAACTGTGAAGTGTCCTTATACTGTGCAAGAGGACATCGGAAAAACTCAAGGAGAAATGGGATAGAAAAGTAGTGGAATATTTCCATGAATTTTTTGAAGCCCTATCATACAGAAGAGGATATTAGACTTGTTAGTGGATTTTAGCCATCTAGGGGCCCTGGTGGCATCGTGGTTATGCGTCGGGCTGCTAAACACAAGGTCAGCAGTTCAAAACCAGCAGCTGCTCCTGGAGAGAAAGATGAGACTTTCTACTCCCATAGGGAGTTACAGGATGGGAAGCCCACAGGGGCAGTTCTACCCTGTCCTGTAGGGCCCTGAATGGAATGGACTCGATGGCAGTGCGTCGGTTTGGTTTGGGAGGGGTGGTGTGAGGGGGGGGGGGGAGTAAGCCTTGCCACCCCAAAGCAAAGCCAACCTGCAGCTCTGCTTGTTACCCCCAAAGAGTTCTGGGAAGAAAGAAGAGAAGCACTTGAAACTGGGCAGTCATTCCTAAAGCATTCTTGTGCAAATTAATCGCCTTGGGACCTTGTTAAAATGCAGATCATGTTTCTGGGAGTCATGGGTGAGTTCTGGGAAATGCTAATAGGTGATGCCTCCCTAGGCCTTGGACCCACTCCCTCCAGTACCTTCCAGCCTGCCAGTCAGATGAACGCCCACCCCAGCCAACAAACCCTGTCCAGGCAACCCAACTTTATCTTCCATACTTTGAAACTTAACCCACCGGGCATAGTGCTTATACATTGGGCTGCTGACTGCAAGGTCAGCAGTTCGAAACCACCGGCAGCTCCTGGGGGGAAAGATGTGGCTTTCTATTCTGGCAAAGAGTTCCAATCCCAAGAAACCCACAGTGGCAGTTCTCCCATGCCCTAGAGCAGTGGTTCTCAACCTTCCTAATGCTGCGACCCTTTCATATGTTCCTCCTGTTGTGACCCCCCAACCATAAAATTATTTTCATTTCTCCTTTTTTCTTTTTTAATCTTTTTATTAGGGGCTCATACAACTCTTATCACAATCCACAATACATCAATTGTGTAAAGCACATTTATTCATTGTCCTCATCCTCAAAACATTTGCTCTCCACTTAAGTCTCTGGCATCAGCTCCTCATTTTTTCCCCTCCCTCATGAACCCTTGATAATTTATAAATTATTATTTTGTCATATCTTGCCCTGTCCAATGTCTCCCTTCACCCACTTTTCTGATG